TGAATGGCTGGCAGGAAAGTTGACATTTTAAACCTTTAATAAAAAAATTGATACAAGGCTTTAGAATATAAATACAGTATCAGGAAATGAAATATCACGATATTTCAGTGTATTGATATTTTCTTACACCCGTAGTTATTTTAACGAGTTTTTTGTCCCCAAAGATTTCACTCTGAGTGGAAATCTGCTTCCTCTTTTTTGTGCGTCTTCAGGGTGGAACGGGTCGACCTGGTGTCGTTAACCCCCAGTCCAGTTCCAGACTCTTCCACGTGAGAGGAACTACGGCGATGAACACGAAGGCCATCGAAGTGCCGGCGAGGTCCTCGTCCCTGAACAGCAACGACGTCTTCGTGTTGAGCGCCAACCAGAAGTGCTACCTGTGGTACGGAAAGGTAGGCGTCCTGAACAACAAGACGACAACAACAATGAAATGATCAGAATTACAGAGTAACAATGTGGATCTGTGGGCCTCCAGGGCTGCAGCGGGGATGAGAGGATGATGGCGACAGAAGTGTGCGATTTGCTGTTCCGGCAGTTTAAGGAGGTGGTGATGGAGGGCCAGGAGCCCGCTGATTTCTGGATCGCTTTGGGGGGAAAGGCCCCCTACGCCAATGACAGGAGGTAAACTCAACAACAGGAGGACATTTAAGGAGATTTGTTACTTAACCAGTCAACAGTGGTGGGAACCGCCAACTAAAAGGTTAGCTTCATTAGCTGCTAATCCGCTAACTAAAACAATTAGCTTTTTAGAGGAAGTTAATGCTAATTACTAACTCAAGATCTATCCCACATAGCAGACTGGTGTGGGCCAGGTCTGGATTCAAGCTGGGACTGCTGGCATGACAAGTGGTTTGTCAACCAGATGTGGGCCAGTTCTGGCAACGATGGCACTGTTTTTAAGATGGTGTGCCACAACTGGCCCGATTGTAGTTTGTTTTATGTGGTGCAGACCCTTGCATTGACCACTTCTGGAAAACAACATCTGGGCCACTAAAGGGCTGCCATTGCAGTATCTGGGACAAATTTTAGTGCGCTATGTGGGCCAGTACTGGGTCAAAGTTTGCTACGTGGGGTCATTTCAGTAGCATAGATGTGTTTTGTCCACAGAGATGTCAGAATCTTGACTAAAAGCTCATAAAAAACATTTCTACRTCCACCAAAGAGCTGAATCAGCAAATAAACACATTGCACAAAGTGATGTAAACAACTCCACCCCAGCTGTTCACACCGTGACTTCTTCACACAACCAAGTTTCATCACAAACCAACCGGGATTCACTGAATCACAAGCAAATAAAAAATAGAATTACGTCTAACGTTTGAAAAACAATCATCTTGCCTTTGCTTTATTGTCTTGGACTCATTAATCCACCAGGATTAAACCACATAAACTGAGCGAGTACGTCTCTCAAAGCGCTTTAGAGCATTTCCCCTAAAATCACAGTTTCAGATGACATTGCAAGGATTTGAGTGGACGAAGTTAACGCTGGTAAACACACAAAATGCTAAACATGCTACAAGCACACACCTACATGACACAGGTGTGTGTGTTAACAAAATTTAGCCGAAGCTAATTGGTCCGCTAACGGTTTCCAAGTTAGCAAAAACGCTAAATGAAAAATTAGGTTTGCTAATTAGCGGAGCTGTTGCCACCACCACTCAGTTAGGTGGTAATTTAAATCTACAAAAAACGCAGTTTGTTAAAAAGTTTGACGGTTCTGTATTTTAGGTTGGAGAGGGAGGAGCTGCTCCACAGCCCCCGTCTGTTCGAGTGCTCCAATCAGACGGGTCAGTTCAGGATGACCGAGATTTACGGCTTCGACCAGAGCGACCTGGACGAAGACGACGTCATGCTGCTGGACACCTGGGAGGAGGTGAAGTGGAGGTGTTTAACCTCTGGGAATAAATCCAGACTCCCCCCCACCGTCTCTCTTTTCGCGGTTTGACTCCCCCGCCTGTCGTTCTTTACGCCTCCCCTTAGATTTTCCTGTGGATCGGAGTCTCAGCCAACGAGTACGAGACCAAGGAGTCGCTGAACAGCGCGCAGGAATACCTGAGGACGCACCCGGCGGGTCGTGATCCCGACACTCCCATCCTCACCGTCAGGCAGGGGAACGAGCCGCTCACCTTCACCGGCTGGTTTACCGCCTGGGATCCTTTTAAGTGGCGCGTGAGTCTCTATCAAAGAGGGGCACTATTAATGAGCCAATGAAGGAATTGACCATTTCTATAAGATTTAATAAACACATTCAGATTTAGGATTTAGATTTAAAATATAGATATATATTTATATTTAAGATTTAGATAATATACATGTATTTAGATTTAGATATACATTTAAGATTTAAATATATTTGTATATAGATATGAGGCAGAAATAGATTTAATATATATATATATATATATTTAGATTTAACATAAATATTTAACATTTACCATTAAATATGAGAAAAATGCTCTAGATGTGGAGAAAGTACACTTTTTACACTTGGTGCCCCGTACATTAGCATGCGTGATTGTATGAAAGAGACACAAAAATCACATGAATGGTTTGGATGACGAAGACTGCCTGAAGTTAAATTTGCAGCTGCTTGATTTGACGGAGCAGCAGGGTTTGTGCATTGCATGCAAACTAATCTTCTCGGCAGGGAGGAAACTCCTGTGAGGAAATCAAAAGCAAACTGAATGATGCAACATCAATCTCTGAGATCACTGTAGTAAGTGATCCTGATCCGAACTGATTGCGTTAATAGTGTCGTGGTTTATTGTCACTAATCTGTGAGCTTGATTCGTTTACGCCCGAAGGACCTGAGCCACACGGGTAAGAGGCCTGCTGTGATGGACGAGGGTGGCTACAGGGCCCCTGGAGGTCCGGGCTCTTCGGTTCCGGCGTCACCCAAACCCTCTACCCCCGCCAGCCCGTCCCATCAGGCCTGGTTCCCATCAGGTGGCGGCGGGAGGTATCTGGACCCGAAAATCCTTATCAACACACCTGCTGACGAGCTTCCCGAGGGAGTGAACCCCACGCAGAGAGAGGTGGGTGCAGAAAGTTACAAAACCTATCGTTAAAACAAAGATTTTAATCAACTACAAAGATGACCTCAAAGATTAGACACAAAACCAGGCTCTTGAGGCGTAAAACTGGTTCTGATCCGCCCATTTTGTGTGCGAGAACCTTCCGTGTCCAGCAGAGGCCAGCCTAACCACATCCTCTGCTCCGCCTGCAGGACTACCTGTCTGATGAGGACTTCGAGAACCTGCTGGGCGTGACCCGCGCAGACTTTCTGGGCATGCCCCAGTGGCGTCAGATCGATTTGAAGAAAAAAGCTGGAATTTTCTGAGAAGGCGAGCTGCCAAACCAGTCTGTGTGTGATTCCAGGAAACGCAAGCCGAAGCTGTTTCCTGTCGACAGAAGCAAAATAACTTTCTTTTTTACTTTAAGTTCTAATGATACAAAATGTATGAGGTGCGAAGTGCAAAATATAATGTTAAAAATATAACACATCATCATTATTTAGCTCACTTTTTGAGTATGATAGTTTAGTTAGAAAATGTCCACTAACATTTTATTTAGCTCTGTTCTTACATTTTGCTAATTTGTACTAAATGTTAAGCTTAAATTTTGTTTAAATGCTAAATTCTACATCTAAATATCCTACAAGTTCAGACCATTTACTATAAATGCTGTAGTTTGTAATTAAGTACAGTATTTCAGAATGGAATGCAGCCTTCGCTGTTGGTGCTCGGCTCTTATGAAGTCATCATCCTGAGACAAAAACAAACGCTAACGCTGCTAGTGCTGCTAACGCTTCTCTACAAGACATCAAACGTACAACTGTGGCCGCGTTCAAGTTGTTCTTCAAACTGCCACTACACAGGGACCATCCATATTGTTTTCAATGTACACATTTTGAATTTAGATTTTAAATACTATCTTCAGCAGCATTAGCGGTTGCGTTTGTCTCAGGATGATGACATCATAACAAATAGCAAAGACAGCATTCCATTTACTTTAACATTTAGATTTACGCTTGAATATTTATACATACTATTTAACATTTAGTAAAAAAAATAGCCAAATGTAAGAACAGTGAGCTAAATAACAATAAAATGTTTGTGGACATTTTTTAACTAGAATTTTACATTTAAAATGTGAGCTAAATAATGAAAATGTTAGTGACATTTTTAAAAACATTTTACACTTGGCGCTCCTTGAATATGTTGAATATAACAGTCTAATAACATGAGTGACTCCTTGTGTTTTTATTTAATATATGTTGCAACTATCAGTACTTTTTAATGTTTCATGCTGATCATGTTTTCCCTGCTTTGATTCATAAACAGAATAAATAAAGACATAAAACAAACGGCGATCAATTCAGGCTGCTTTTATTCGAGAGCTAGTGCAAATACTAAAAACATGATAAATTGGGACAAGACGTTACAAAAAATTATTAAAAGAACAGAAAAAATTAAAAAACCCAAGGAGGAAGTAAACTGGATTTAGTTGAGTTTGGAATTAACTGTAGTTATCAGAGAAAAAAAGTCGTAAAAGGAGGTTAAACCTAATTGAGTTTGTTATATTTACAAAACAGCCTGATTTCAAACACATGGTTCTCTGAATGAACAAGACAATTACAACATAAAAATCTCATTGGCACTTTCTGAAAAAAAACAAAACACAATGCTTAGTTCTGGTTGGACAAAGAAGGAAGAACACAAACATGGCCAAACGATTGTTTTTTCTTTGTTTTACAGGAATGACTTTTCTTTTAAGACTGTAGATAAATATAGTTTAAACTTAAGGGAACATTACAGTCAGTGTATCAAATCACAATCCTTTCAGTACAACAAAAATACAAATAAACAACAGTCATTAAATAATTTTAGAGACATCTCGTTGTTCCATCGCTCACTCTCGCAATCATTCCTGCTTTGTTAAATTGCCGTAGCTCCGACCAAACCCGTTGTTTAAAAAAAAAAAAAAAAGTAAAAACAGACAAACTCTCATGCTTTTGGTCTTTTCTGCAAAGTTTGATTTTTTTTCCATCACTTGTTATGCTGTTGAGTGCCCCCACCATCGTGTGTCTACTGTGCGTCCAGGAGCATGGTGTGGATGAACAGACTTGCAGAAGGGATGACGTCGCCTCTCTTGGTAAGTAACGGGACGTGGCGATATCCTGGAAGACAGGAAGTCAGTTTCAGCCTTGTCAGCAAATGAAAGTGTGTGTTTATGTGGGTGAAAAGACATGAACGCAACAAGTCATGAGATTAAGGAAAACAGTTCAGATCTTTGAAGTAGGTTAACAGTTTATATCCTACCTGTTGCAGATAGGTTTTTGAACAATCTCAAAATGGAATAAAGTACTTGTTAGTGGGGCTAAGAATTTTGGAATTACAGAACAAAATGTTTTGACCTTTTAGGTCTGACTTCATCTTAATGTCCTTTGCGACAAATTTTGTCAAGACCAAATTAGCCATTTGCAGGAATTTTCCTTTTGGTTTTAAGCACCCCCTCTGGCTCAACATTGATGAAATTTGTTCCATACCTGAGAGCCGACTCACCCAATAGCAGTACCGGTATATTTTTCATTATATCATCTATTGTTTTAGAAGATACAACTAAATACTTACTAAAACCTATTTGCCCAGTAATACTTTCAAGTAAAACACAGAAAACAAAACAAAAAACAAACCCTACTTGTCCATAATAACCTATATTTACAGGCTTTCGTGTTAGATTCAAGACAATGAATTTTATGACAATCAAGCTTTAAATCGTTTGAAAAGCATTGAAATGTGGGTTTTTAGAACTGCAACTAAGCAAAAACATTTAGGCAGGAATGGGCGTGGCCTATACCACGTAATTCAATAGAGTGCAATAAATCTGTAGATAAGTTTTAAATGTTTAAAAGATTGCAGTTAAAATTCAAAGACCTCAATGAATATTGTCCCTTATACCAGTGTTTCCCAAAGTTGGGGTCGGGACCCAAAGTGGGGTCCCGAAACATCAAGGTGGGATCCTGAAAAGATTTTCTGAATTAATTACATTTTTGCCTTAGTTGTTACAAATGATTGAGGTTAGTTTATTTAAAATGGATAAATGTAGTATAAAAAATATTGTTACTATGCCCATGTTTTGTTGACCTGATACAAATGTTTATCATACAAAAATAGTTGGGGGCACAGGTCTCTGCTACTGTTATTTTGTGGGTCAAAAGCTGAAAAGTTTGGGAACCACTGCACTTTGGTTCCCAAAGTTGGGCTTGGGACCCAATTATGGGTCATGAAGCACCTTGGATAATCTCCAGAAATCAATTTAAAGGGTAATAAAATAATTGCTGATGTAATATTGTCCCTATAATTATTACAAAAACACAAAATAAGTAAAAATAAGTATTTATATTTGTGTATAAGCTGTTTAGATAGTCAAAAAGCCTGTGTGTTTAGGGTTATTAATGAAGTTCATGTACTCAGACCAGTAATATTTGGGGTCACAAGTTTTTGCCATGGATATTTTGTGGGTCAGAAGACAAAAAGTTTGGGAACCACTGCCTTATACTGTACATGTCCGAGAATTTTTGTGTCGCACACAAAAGCCAGATTTACTGCAATATACACACAAAAAATGGAACAAATGGAAAATGGAATAAATGGAAAAGTTTTAATTGGGTTCCATGCTCTGCTGGATGCATGGATAGCTGCTCTGTTGCAGCCTATCAGCAAGCAGCCCTCGTGAGTCTAAGCCTCACCTGTGTAAGCTTGGAACCCTGAGAGTAGAGTTTACTTCTAAGTGTTCAGTTCCTTGTGTTTCTGCACATTCTTTACCATTCTGAATGCTGGTGAGCGGCAGGCTGTATTGTCCAATGAAATCATTCTGGGACCCTGCATCGTAGTCCTCCACCAAAAACCGCACCAAGGCAAGCTCTGGCACGTGGATTGTAAATTGGAATCTCTCGTTCCACATCGGGTTGAACCCTGCAAGAAACCAACTGTTGAGACATCTGCACACTCACATGGTGTGACAAAAAGTTGAGTTAAAAACACCTATGTCATACTAACCATTGTTGTTGAGGTAGTGTGTCTCTTTGCTGGCGTTGTCTGCTGGGACCCCGAAAACTTCTATTCTCACCAGAGGGTCTACAATGGACTTCTCTTTGTTCTTGTTGAGTTTAGGTAACTGCTGAGCTGAGATCACCTGTTGTTCAGAAACAAACACATTAGCTATGTCTCTAAGCTGTTACCTCACTTTTAATTTACAATAAGTTAGGCTTTATTCTTTTTTTACAGGATGTCTGTTTGCCGTTTGAGAAACAATTAGGGGCTCGTCCGGGATAGGAACCCAAAACCACATACATCAAATGTATGGGTGTAAGTGCTGCTATGTGGAGACAAAACTAATTTACTGTCAACTAACACAAAGGTGACAGAGTATCGTGGGAATAGCAAATAATTTAATACCCAAGCCAACCACAAGGGAACATGAAAAAGCCATAGCATAAACAAAAAACACTATTTTGTCAACAAATACCCTTTCTTTCAGAGTTACTCCCTCACCATGATATGGAAGGTGTTCTTCTGCAGCCACGGCCCTCGGGACAGTGAATTGGGGTTGAACTGAGAGGACAGATCTCTCAGGAATTCCGGTTTCAGGATGTAACCGCAAAAACCGTTTGGCCGAAACCTTCCCTGGTTTACTTGCATCTCCTTGTGAGGAGTCTGGAAGTTCAGCGCCACTGAATTCAAAAAAGAAGTGTACATGAAACAATCGCTCTTCATCTAGCTGTCCGATGAATGTATTTCTGCACAGATTAATCGGGGGAGTTTACCGATCTGGCAGCCAACATTCCACATGGGAACAGGGTTGTAGTTGGAGGAGTCTGTCCTTGAACCTGCCGGGTAGATCCTGCTGAGTTTGTCCATGTTGTGATGAATAAAGGCGGTGGCTGTAGGAGCACAATAAACACTTAATGTTTGTCGTACAACGGTTATTTTGCCCAAGGCAGTCAGATGAAGTGTTTACCCGAAGTTTCACCCAAGCTCAACGCTTTGCTCTCTTTGAAGGACGACATTTCATAAAAAGCCTGGTTGTCCCTGGCATGTTCGAAGCTTTGGAAGTGGACACTCTTACAGTAGATGACAAGGTCTGACAGCTCTTTGGCAAGTGTGATCTTTGATTTCTGAAAGAAGGCAGGACATGAATATACATGTCATCAAAGACAAACATATTGGCTTTTATCAGATTGGTACAAACCCTTTAAATTACCTTTTTTGCCTTTTGATCGTTCTCCTTACACTCCGCCGCCTCGTCCTCCTCTGACACAGTCTCTTCTTCTATAACGTTGTTGTTGGAGAAGACTGCATCCAGCTTGTTCAATCGTTTTCCCTTGATGAGAAACCTACCCTTCAGCTCCTGCACACACAAATTATGCTGTTAGAATTTGTTATGTAATTTGTAAAACTTGCACAATGATACGGCTAATCCAATGGAAGCCTTTTTTTTTCTTTTTTCTCTTTTTTTTTTTTTGCTTTGTCAGGGCAAAGAGCATGTGTTACTTGTTACTGCTGTTCACTCCCTCTAAACATGCCATGACAGAAAGAAAAAGAGGTGTGTTTTCTTCCCCTGAGGGTGAAAGAATTGCTTTTATCCTGGCTGCTGTCCCTTTAAGAGAAACAGGAGACGCAAAACATCTTGGCTACTGGAAGGTTTAAAACAAGGAAAAACGCAAAAATAATCTGCRAAATCCTACAGAGTGTGCACCATCTGGCAAGGCCAGCGCATTGTTTTTTTTTTTCAAACCTTTAGTGGCAGCTTCCTGCATTTATTTATGAAACTAGTTTTTGACTCATTTTTCTGCTTTGATTCTTGCCTTTAGGGAGGAATGAGGACAATTAGGACTAAAAATAGTTGCAGTGGCCAAAAATTTCAACTTGTTCTCATACAGTTTTAAATTTAGTTACTAACAGCTGGCAGAACTCAAGGGTTTTAAATTCTCGGTGCGTTAAGAGATGAAAAGCTGTGTTTGTAGTGTCCTTAACACTCATAAACAAAGCTGTTTGGAGAGAAAGCAAAAAATCTGACAGAGCAGTTTACTAAAGGCGTGACCGTTCCTTTGTACTGATTCAACAGGATATTTATAGTAAGTGTTGACGTAATGAACAGGATTTTTTTCCCAGTATGAGTCTGGATTGAAGAATCGCTAGGGGTGCACGATAACTATCGACCCGATATCAGGAGATTATGATGTCATACTTATCGGTCCGATATCATAACAAACAGAACCGATAACATACGTACACGTTTGCCAGCGCGGCAGTAAGTGTGCTTATTTATTTTTATTCTTTTTGATCAAGCCGCTCCCCGTCCTGCCCAACTCGCGCAACGTTCAAGTTGCGTAGAAAAAAAGCATCTTTCTCACTWGAAAAATATTTAGAATACTCCGTGCTGGAAAACAACCAATTAACCATGTATGTTACACACAAACTTTATAATTGTAAACATATAAAGGTCGCAACAACTACTCCCAATTTGAGAATATGTAAAGTCCGTTACCTCCGGAATGCAGCACAAAGTCCGTCTGCTAAAAATGCTAACAACAACAAGCTAGCGTTCAAGAACTCGTAGGGACTTAAATCCTTGATGAGGCTTTTGACAAATCCAAAAAAAAAA